GAACAACTGATCTAGATAATCTGTTTAGGACCCCAGATGAATTCAGCAGCTAAATCTCTTAGGTGGCACTATAGTCTACCCATAGCTTCATGACTGGTTGGATTAAGCTTCAATAGGTCAGAAAATTTCCTTGTACTTGTAATAAAACATAATGGATATGATCTATTGTTAACTATTATTTATATTAGATTTAAAGTCTTGCGTGTGTGTGTGTGTGTGTGTGTGTGGTTTTAAATAAGTACGTCACAACTTGAAGCTAATATTTGGTTTGTATCCACATTAGGGTTTCTAATATAGGGACTTCATGATCTCTGTTTCTATTATTTCCCTTTCCTCAGCTTGTTATTTTTCAGAGCCAGCCCTGATTGTCGTTTACCTTTTTCTGAAGAAGGAGAATTCCCTTTAAGGAACTCTCTCAGAATCCCAGGGACCCACACAGAGTTTTTGAGGAAGATAGAGACACCCATCCACCCAGTCCAATCACACAAATAGGTGAGAAATAGGATAAGCCAGTTGTCACTGTTAGTCAGCTCTCAGATATGAGAGTAGCCCTACCAAATTAAATTTACCTTACATAAACTCAAACATAAAAGACTCAAATATTGTCTGTGTGACTATAACCTGTGTCTATGTCAGTGCAAGTAGCCAAATAAGGGCCTCCTGTGTAAATGAAGGCAAAACGCAAAAATAAAACAAATAAGCAAAACCAAACACCAAACCAAAACAAAACCCTATGGTTTTCCAGGAAGCAAATAAAGACTTCTTGTGCAAATAAAGGCAAACAGCCAAAATAAAATAAACCCAACCACTATCTTAAAACCTGAAGGACACAAAGGAATTCTTGGGTTTTTCTTTTTTCTTTTCTTTCTTTCTTTCTTTCTTTCTTTCTTTCTTTCTTTCTTTCTTTTTTTGAGCAGCCATTTCCTTCTGTCCCATATCTACTCTAACGAATAGATGAATTAGGGGTAATGGGAACCCAGAAATTTCTGACGTTGGCTCTGACAGTGTTTTGCAAGCATTGCAAAATGGTACAGGACAACAAGGGTTTTCACATGTACTCTGGCCTTTAGACTGCCCATCCTTGCCGCATATATGAGCATTTGGTAGTAGATAAGGCATTTCATAGAGAATTAAAGTAATTTCCTTTGAAGTTTTTCCTTTTGAATTCTTATTACTTAAAATTCAATAGTAATACTCTACTTTGAACCAAGCGCTATGCATGGACTATTTTATCTGTTCTTCCCTACAACTTTTTATTTTAGATATGTAAAAACTGTGGTTTAGAGAGCATATTAGTCAGCTTGGACCAATACTGTAATAACAAATACCACAGACCGGGTGGCTTAAACAGTAGAAATTTATTACAGTTCTAGAGGGTGGAAAGTCAAAGATCAAGGTACCCATAGATTGGGTTCCTGGTGAGAGCTCTCTTTCCTCTCTTTCTGGCTTGCAGACGGCTACCCCCTCCCTATGTTTTCACATGGCAGAGAGACAAGAGAGCAAGCTAGCAGGCACTAGCTCTCTGATGTCTTTTCTTATAAAGACATCAATTCTATTGGATCATGATTCTACCCTAGGACTTCATTTAATTTTAATTACCTCCTTAATTATAGGTCCTGTTTCCAAATACAGTCACACGGGGGTTTGGAGCTTCAGCATATGAGTATAGTGGGGCACAATTCAGTCCATAGCAGAAAGAATAAATGACTTTTCCAAGGTCAAACGCTACTTGTAGAGCCAGGATTTGAATCCAAAAAGTTAGGCACTGAAACCGCTGTTGTTAACCTTCTTATAGCTGTCTATGAGTTTAATGGGTGTTATGTATGGAATTGGCCAAGTTTGCCTTCTAGACCCTCCTGCCTTTCTATGTTCTGTCCTCTAGGTATATACCCTTCTCAGAGGCCTCTATCACATCTTGCCCATGTTCCAGCACCTCAGGGTTCAATTCATTTGTACTAAAACTTAACTCAATCCACAAGTATTTGCATATTTATGAAAAAATGCCTCAAATAAGAATGTCCCCCCCCCAATAATGGGATGTTAGCTTTCTGAGTAGACGACAGACATATATATATTTTTAAGCTTATTTATTTTGAGAGAGAGAAAAAGATAGATGAGAGAGAGAGAGAGAGAGAGAAATGGGGAAGGGAGAGAAGGAGAGAGGAAGGGAGGGAACATGAGTGGGGGAGGGACAGAGAGCACAGAGCCTGATGCAGAGCTCCAACTCCATGAGATCCTGACCTGAGCTGAAACCAAAATTCAGGTAGTTAACTGACTGAGACACCCTGGCACCACCCCATGACAGACATATTTTAAAAGAGATTCTTTCTGCATCTCTCAGATTTCTCTTTACATAAGATTGTGGCTCTTTGGACTATGGGTCCATAATACAAGAATTTTCTACCAGTTTAGTTTTTGTTCTTTGGTGCTTTAGATGAATATTAATTCATTTTTGTTGAATATCTACTTCCCTCCCCTTTTTGTTTTTGTTTATTTATTTATTTATTTATTTATTTATTTTTTTAACGTTTATTTATTTTTTTGGGACAGAGCATGAACAGGGGAGGGGCAGAGAGAGAGGGAGACACAGAATCGGAAACAGGCTCCAGGCGCTGAGCCATCAGCCCAGAGCCCGACGCGGGGCTCGAACTCACGGAGCGCGAGATCGTGACCTGGCTGAAGTCGGACGCTTAACCGACTGCGCCACCCAGGCGCCCCTTCCCTCCCCTTTTTGTTAACAAACATTGCTTGAATGCTTTCTGTACATAGGACACGAGTATACATTTAAAGATACACATTGGCTCTTACTTTCCAGGTGTAATCTAAATATCATATGTTAAGTTCAAAAGAAAGATCTGAAAAAAATGATATGACATTTCAGAGAATAAAGTTAGATAAGAACTGGACTTTTTAAAAGTTTTATTTTATTTTATTTTGTGGACAATGAGGCAATTTTGAAATCTTTTGAGTAGGTAGATAGATTGGTCTGATTTATTTTCTGAATCAGCTTTATAAAATAAAGGGGAGGATGAAGAGGAAGAGAGTTCAGAATAGTGTAATTATTCTGAGGTAAATTCTATAGAACAAATAAATTGTAAATAGTAGAACACCTTTGTGAATCAAGGGTTTGAGGCTTGAAGTCATATTTGTATGAAAATATTAGTATTTCTCCACATTTTATCACAAAGGCTATTTTTGATGGAGGATGTTATTAAAAATATTTAATAACTGGTATGACACAAGACTTTGACAATCAGAGAAGGAAACTGGCCAATCAAAATAGGCCAGGTCCTAAATATATAATTAACAAGTCTGACCAATCTGGTATATACTGACTGAATGTCAGCTCTGCCTTTGTCTCTGGTTGCACAGCAATGGATCTTACGATTTGAAAGATTCTCCTTCTTAAACAAATGTCATAAAATAAGTAAAGCTTTTTTTTCTAATTTCTTAATTTAATAATAAACTTCTATAATTTATATTAGCTAAGGTCAGCATAACAAATTAAATTGATACAATTTTGGCATCCATCTGTAATGCTTGGTTGTCATTTTGCTATATGGCCTTATATCAGGCAAGTGTATAATTTCCATTTGGCATTTTGAAATATGAAAATATTTACTTAACTTTATAAAATTCTGAGGGGGCAGGTGCACTGCTGTCCTCAATTAATAGTGTTGATTTAAGTCATGTACCTCATAGCCTGGAGATGTTTCAAAATCTCTCTCTCTCTCTCTCTCTCACACACACACACCCACACACACACACACACCACATAAATGTCTTCATAACTGACACATTCTTTAGTTGTCGAAGTCTCTACCACTCTCTTTTGTTTTACACATTTATGTTATATTATTTTACCCATCTGGGCCCTGAAGGCAAATGCAGTTGTAATCCCTGATTTAGATATTTTTATGTTTTTAGAAACATCGTTTTGTTCAAGATTTTACCCTTTATACTTGGCAGCTTCTGTTCGGCCTGGATTTACCTTGACCTCCATTTTAGTTCAAAACTTTCTAACTCCTTTACATCCTACTATTGACCTTCACAATTATTTTGAAAATCACAGTTGACTTTTTCTAGTAGGTAAAACTTCTTTTTTTGGTTTTTGTTTTGATTCTTTTCTCTACTTACATCCCCGCTCCTCCTCTGAAACCAGTTCTCTCAAAACTACAGGTCTCAAACCCCCACCAAAAAAAGTATCTGTGATCTTGAGTACTTCATGATGGCGTCCTTGACCCATATTCATGCCCGGACCAACAAGAAACATTCTTGCGCCACCTTGGTTTGCCTGATAACTTCCTGTTCTTTCCATTATTCCCCGAGGACGACAGGCTGATGCTGCAGCAAAGTCCAGTCTAAGAGAGGGTCAACTTTGAGCTCTGAACGTGCTGGTCTTCTCCTCCCATTGTTCCTTGTAAGATGATGGATAATTTTAGTCAGGACAAAGTAGTAGAAGGGCAACCGGAAGAATGCTGAATGGTTATCCAAGTGGCAGATATAATGCCTTTTTGATGAACATTAATGAGCTAGGGTGTACTTTGGGGAAAGTACATTACAAGGACTTTGTAAGAGAACATTATGGCTGGACCCTGTAATTCTTGCTTATATCCACAAGAACTGAATGTCTGCGTATCTTGACTTTGACATTGAACTGCCCATATTAAGTAGGAGAATGGGTGGGTAACAAATGGCAGAACTTGGGGAGATATTTCTTTCTTCCTTTTAAAATAAGGCAGATGGTTTTTTGAACACAATTTGCCACAGCTCATAAAAGCATAAGAGTTCTGGTTTTTTGAAAGAGAGAAAATAATAAGTTGATTTTTTTTTAACGGTAAAAGTATTGTTTCTCCCAGGGGCTTAAAGAAAAAAAAAAGCATTGAGAAATGGGAGTGAACTGCAAGATAGGGTTTGTGTAACAAGTACCTAAAACCACAGAAGTCACATGGGCTCTTTCTGCTTTGCTACTTTTGATTACTTGTCAGAGGGTTAGAGTTTTAGCTTCCCCCATCCTGCAAGGCCACTCAACCATGTGCTAGCTGGAGTAATCTTTATTCACAATGTCTTTACAAAGGCTCCTGCAACAGAACAGCAATGGCAATCTGGTGGACTACTGTGCTGGTCCATCTTATAACTCTGACTCCACACTCACAGGCAGCTTCCGAATGGATGATAATAGAAGGATTCAAATGCTGGCAGACACAGTGGCCACTTTGCCTCGGGGAAGAAAGCAGGTATGATTACTATTTTGTACTTCCAGAGTTTTCCTGTTCTCTTGGGAGCAGAGTGATATGTTTATCTGACTTTGCACTGAACTTGTACTTTAGAGGCTTGGAATTAGTCACTAAGAGTATGGGGGAGGACGCAGCTAAGAAGCCCAGGTTGCTCATGGACTAGTCCAAAAGATTTAAGACCATAACAAAATGTTGTTTTCAAGGCCAAACTTAAAAGAAGATTATTTTTCTCATTTGAAAGGTGTTCAGGTAAAATGAAAATCGTTAAGTGCATCAAACTTAGAGAGTGCATGCAGATGTGGCCCGTTTGAGAATCATTGATCTTTTCCCCCTGTATGTGTCCCATTGATTCTATGCCTCCCAGCCTCACTCCGTGATAGTCATTTTCAATGGAATGAGAGTACCTTTTCTCCAGGACAGCATTTGTTGACTAAATTATTTTCAGTGAGGGGGCACAGGTACATACCTAATGCCATTGGGAATGAAGGCTTTTACTGGATAAATTGGCAGATTGAGTACCAGCTCAGCTATTTACTAGCTGGTGGGACCTTGGGCAAGCCACTTGCCTAAGACTTCGTTTTCTTTTCTCTGTAATGGAGATAATAATAGAGCCACCCTAAGGAGCTCTTCTTTGGCGTAAGTGAAGAAAATGCGCCGTGCCTGACACAGCGCTTGACGTGAAGTTGGTGCTCAACCATCATGTTCTCATTTTTATTTTTATTGTAAGGGATTTCCCTAGAGATGAAAACTCACTTAGGAAAATCCATGTCCAGCTGAGTTTATTTTTCGTTTCTTTGATTCTACAATTTCCAATTTTTAAAATAATTTTTTAACCATAGCACCTCTTCAGGTTTTAGTTATATAACTTGCTATCAGGCTCCAAGTGCATATCTGAATTTAGAACTGGAATTGCTTTAAAGCATGAATTTTTGCCCTTCAATCCTGCATGTACATCATGTGCTCCTCTTAAGCCTTCTAATTTCAGGATTAGAGAGTTAGAGCATAGTGGGCGAGTCATGATCTTTTCTCAGCCATGTATACAGCTGATTCCTCGTTATTTTTCACAATGAAGATAAGGCATAATTTGCCATGGTTGGGATTTTTGATCTTCGTTTAATGCGAAAGTGCTTTTATGACATTAAGTTTAATCAAGTGATGAACATTTCTATCAATTTACTGCCTGTCTGAAAATAAAGCAGCTATAGGAAGCACCAAGGTCTTTATTCAGGTTTCAGATATGGAGCAGTGTGTAGAAGGTACAGAGATGAAAAGAATGCATTTCCTGGCCTTTTAGGGTTAACAATTCAGTAGGCAGAACAAAATAGGCATTACACAACATAAATGCTCTAATTCAAGGACATGTCTTTTAATATAACCTTGAAGGATAGGATGTTCCAATTCTGAACGGTATTCCAGAGCAAGGGAATAATTAATGCCAAGGCACAGATCTCGGGGCCTTTAGGGCACATTGAGGTAACAGCACATTATTATGTCTGGGAGACCCAATAAGTGTCTGTTGAAGGGGAGTGGAGACCTTGGTGCTGGGCTCCTTTACGCTTGATCTTAGCGTAAAGGCCGAGAAGCCGGCGGGCTGCTTTACTAAACACTTCCCCTGAGGAAGCAGTGATTTGACCAACACAGGTAGCCACTGGGCATGTTTGAGCAGTAGAGGGTTTTAGGAGCCTCACTCTAGAAACATGGTGAGTACCTGGGTAGAGACTAGCAATGAGGGACCAACTTTTATAGTAGTTGGAGAAAAAGGAAATGGACAGAATGGAGAGGAGACCCGGAGACTTGGCTGTGAAAGGCAGTGAAAACGGAGGAGTCACATCTGGTCTTAAACTCGAGGGAAGATAGCTTCCACTAAAAAGAAGGCAGTCAGTACGAGGTTACTGGAAGGAGATAAGGAGAGGGATTTGGGCACACAAAACACATGCATTGTGCATAGGTATATAACCTATATACACACAAATGCCCACATTCTCACACCGACGAATCTATCTGATGTTCTCATCTTTTTAGGCCCCGTCTTCTCCGTTTTCTCCTATTCTCTCCCATAGCAAACTCCTATTCAAACAGTGTTTTCTTCCTGTTGTGAGAATGACTTTAAGGAAAAAAAGAAGGCAAAACAAAAACTCTCTTCTGCATGATACTTATGATTCTGTACAGTTAGCATCAATGAGACTTGATGCAAGTTTATCCCAACATTTCAGGCTTTTCCAAATGGATGTTCATTTCCTTTAAGTGGTTTGTAGAGAATAATCACCCATTTGGCACTCCCTGAATCGCAGGCAACAAGATCCCTGTGAGGCAACCACATGAGCAGGTGTTTTTCTGCCCACTGTTATTTTCAACACTTTCAGGGCTGACGTCAACAGTTCATACTTCTCGTTATTGTTGGCTTTGGTTTCTGCAAAGCTGTATCTGGTGAGCATGTAGTTTCAGATTAATCTTCGGAAGCATTTGGGTGTTTACACTTGGAATTGCTTAAAAATAGATTTCTGTGTGTACCTCTTATCTCAATACCTGTATTTGTAGGAGGCGACAGACATCTCAGTACAGCTTCTACTTCTGAACATATTTTTGGGGGGTAAAAATCCCTGCAATGGGAAACAGTGTGGGAAGGAGACGGGAGGAAATAAAGATAGGCTTTATAAATGTGGTGATAACAAAGGAGTAGTGATTGTACCTCTGGGCCGCTCCCTCAAGGGTAGTAGGTTGCAGTTGGAAGGCAGTTTAAGAACCAGGGACCTGACAAATGGGTTAGAAACTGGAATGTGCCTCACTGGTACCACAGGTTGTCTTTGCCTGACGTTCTCCAGGTTATTGAATTATTACTCAATAGGCAACTTCAGAAAGGGTGAATTCACTTAAAAGTTCTGATCTGGAATTTTGTGCTAAACTCTGTAACGTGTCTATTTCTGGGATGGGTTCTGCCCTGCAGAAGCTTTCACATGATTTCTGTCTGTTCACCCATCTGTGACCCCAAACTCCCAAGTTTCTAACTGCAACAAGGTATCTTGATCATTAACTGATCATTAACACTGTGTTAATTTCACTACGAAATAATTGGGAAAGTATTCTCTAATTCATACTGTGGCATGCCCTGAGTGAATAGCCCACAGTTTTTCTTGGAAAAGAAGCTCATGAGTCCACAGTGAGACTTTCTTGGGAAGCTGTGACATTTATTTGGGTTCCTTAAGGGCACTTACGAGTTAGGAAATTGCACACGGTTCCGTTATTTTGCTGTATCTTAGAATAGTCTGTAGAGCCTTGCTAACCCAAGGTTCCTGGGTTAAAAGGGCAACAGAAACAAAACAAAACAAAACAAAACAAAACAAAACAAAACAAAACACCTGGATTCCTGGAAGAATTAGGGAGATTGCAGCAGAGACTGGAAAAGAGAACAAGGCACAGGATTTGGGCTTTTGAAACAAACAATAGAAACAAAAGAAACATGTTAATATATATCCTCTCTCCACCCCCAATACTTTCCGGAAATGCATTCACTCAGTGGGGACCAGGAAGTAACAATCTGTTACTTAGCAGCAGAAGTGGCTGCAGTATTGAACTTTGAGCTCCTGTGAGTCTGCTGGCTCTCTGGCTGAGCTACAGATTACCCTGATCTTTTGCAAACTGACAGCTGACATATTTAGTGTTGGCTTCCCCCTAAAGAGGGACATTGTAAATCACCGCATAGCGGCAAAAATTCCGTTTTGAATATTAATGCCTGATCTTTGAAGCCCTCTGACTAAAAACAAAAGAAGAGGAATCATAAACTCAACCCCAGGCATCTTTATATTAGTGGCTAACAAGGGGTTAAGGAGCTTTGTCTAATCAGCGGTCGTCATTGAATGTGTGGCTTGCAGGCCTGCCAAATTGCCAAACCTAGAGTTCTCATATTAGATAATGTGTAATAAAAGACAGCTGTTGCCGGCATATGCCGTTCATCACACACCCGTTCCTTATCCATACGTTTTGGTGTCTCCGCTGCAACCCCGAGAAAAGGCTCTGGCTGGGAGCGCATTCGGGAGCACTGATGCCCTGGGTTAGAGCCTAGAACGGGTTAGAGCCTAGAACAGGACCGCTCACTCTAGGAAAAGGGCTGTAGGCAAAATATTTTTCAAAGGGTGATGCTTTGGATAAGGCCTTAGGCATGCTTCTTCCCACTTTGGCAGATACCCGGGTGCCTGAGCACGGGCTGAACCCTGGGAACATTCCCTTTCACATGGCCTGAGTCTGACAGCCCAGATCACATGCAAGGAGGCTGTGTGTCAAGATGTGGCACGTGTCAGAGAATTTGATGGTGCCTAATTTGTTTAAATTGTTTTTTCTTTAAACATTAGGTGCCTAAGAGAGGTTCATCGCTGATCTAGAGTAGAAACCAATTTACAATTTGACTTAGTCTGATTTTGTGTGTGTGTTGCTGGTAACCCAAATCAGTTGATCCACAGGAATTGGGTCTCTGCCGTGCACCTCACGGTGTGCTAGGCAAATATTTTCAACTAGTCGATTAGCTAGATAGAGAGGTGAGCCAGAGAAAAGTAGGAAAATTGCTTTCTGTGTAGAGGATTTGGGTTTGTCTTGTGGAGTTAAACTATTTTATATTTGAATTTATCTGGAATGATTTTTTTTTACTTTAGAAGGCAGGTTACAGGTGGACCAGATGAAATCTTAACGTTCCTGTCAGTGCTGTGATTATTTGCCTGGCAAAAGGGCATTTAAAATTGCTGAGGAAAGGCTGGAAATAACTCATTCATTTTGGCCACCATTTATTCATTTGGCAGTTATGTATTAAGGCATTAGAACTTCCTTTGTTTCCTATTAATCCTTTATGGTTCTTGCTGTTTTTGGACTGAGATGGTTTTGTTCTTTTTGTTTTGTTTTGTTTTGTTTTTCATTTTTGATGTTGTCACGTGTTTGGGATTTTCTTAAATTTAATTTTCTATTTTTAATGATTACCCTTGAGTTTTTCCTGCAAATATTTAAAATTTGATGAAGGGCAAAGTTGAAGAACATTTTAATGCATTTCTCCTGAACTTGATCTTTCACCACTACTTACTTACGTTGGTGTCTAATAGTTTACTTCTATTTGTCTATTTAGCTATTTTGAAGTTTCCCCTATATTCCAGGCACTGCACTAGGCACTGGGGTAGAAAATAAAACAAGTACAGTCCCCACGTGGCTCTAAGGATAAAGATAATTTTGTACAGAGGTGAGGTATCTGATCCAGCATACCCTTTATATAAATACACATACAGTCTCCACATACAAGAATGTGTGACTAATATGATGAATATTGATAGCAAGAGTAGTATTTTTAAATATAAGCCCTGGCTATGATAACAGGTAACAGGTAGATATGACCTACCTACGAAGCTTGCAATCGGAAACAAGGATAAAAGCCCAGGAGATGCAAATAATGAAAGTCGATTGAGACAATGTGAGTGCAGTGTGCTGGCGAGATGAAAATACTTGGGAATATCAAGTTTATTGCTCTCTTTTATAAGAAGGCAGCCCTACTGCATAGCTGAGTCGTCCCTCGCCCATGTTTGTGGTTAGTAGGACAAATCAGGATGAAATAAACTATGCACATTGTTGCGGGCCATCTATCATTAGTCCTTACAAATTGAAAATAAATAATTTCTGGCAAATCTAGAGAATCTTTTTGGGTCTGAGCCTTCTGATTGCAGACTTCAGGATGATGCAAATGATTTGAGGGGTGGAACTGAAAAGACAAGGAATTCCAAAACACAATCAATTTGCATCAAAGCGAGGAGAGATCATCTCTTCCCTACATTAGCTTAACTGACCAATCAGTAGCCAAATTCTGAACGCTGAGCCATTTCAGAAAGTTTGTGAAAAGGCTGGCATTTCGTACTTGATAATTCAGATTCATTACAGTGACGTAGGCTTCTGTCCTAACAAATGCCTTAATGAGGGTTTTGTTTGTGCATTAATTTTATGTGTTTTTCGCCTTCTGATTTTCAACCTCTATTTGTTTGGATTATGTGTTGATCTCCTGACTTTTTTTTTCTTAGTTTATGTATTTATTTTGAGAGAGAGAGAGCGAAACAGAGAGAGCATGAGCAGGATAGGGGCAGAGAGAGAGAGAGAAAGAGAATGCCAAGCAGGCTCCACAGCGTCAGCTCACAGACCGATGTGGGGCTTGAACTCACAACCCTCGAGATCAGGACCTGAGCCAACACCAAGAGTCAGAAACTTAACTGGCTGAGCCACCCAAGCGGCCCCTGACATTTTTATGTATTCACTGATAGATGACAGGCGTGTCAGGTTGACCATGAAACACCCGTGGGTTAGCTAGGATTGCAGTTTACATTTTGGGCCACTGGACCAACATTTGAGAAAGGGCTGATTACCATTTGTTAATTCCTAAACAATAACACAAAAACACAGAAAAAACAGCCATCGCCTGAAAAAACAAGATGCTGCCTTTTGCTTACGTTTCCTATTTACAAGGGTAGAAGGTATCTCGGAAGTTTATGTTTATAGGATCTTTTTCCAAAATATGCCGAGGAGGAAAGGTGATAGTATTCCTGTTGTTTATACTATTTGGTTCCTTTGCTCTCTTGGCTGCAGATCTCACCGCACTCTTCCAGACCTTCTGCAAAAATCAATCATAAGCAGAATTGAGGTTTGGAGTCCCTGGTTTCACCTGAATTGTGCTTCTGCATATGAGTTGGTTCTTTAGAGATTATTTTATCCTGTTAAAAACAGTAACATATTGAACTATTATAATAAATACAGTCATTTCGTCAGTATCTCAAAAAACTATCAAGCATTTGAGTTTTATATGCCATTCTGTGGGTGTTGTTTTCTTTGGATTTCCGTGTGATTAGAAATTGCTATGGTTAATCTTTCAGAGGCTATTTTAAATAGAGATTAGAGATGACATTCCTTTTGGAAGCTTTGGAGTTTTGCCACATTACGTGGACTCTTTTTGCCAGGGTGTATTATTATCTGAGCCTCATTTAGCCTTTTAATGCTCCAACATTCCCCTTCCCCCGCTCTCCTTTGCTACCACTAGAAAATGGAAATTACTACCTTTCCATAACAATTTCCCAGAGCTGGGCCAAAGAAGGTGACAAAGAACAAAGTGCTTGGTGATTTACAACACTTCATAGTTGTGTCTTAAGGACCTTTGGATAACTGTGTGCTTATTCTATTTTTCAGCTTGCTTTGACGAGATCAAGTTCTTTAGGTGACTTCTCCTGGTCTCAAAGGTAAAGAGATTCTTGTATTTTTGTGTCTCTCACCAAGGCATTCAGGAGCACAGCTCTTCAGACTGTGGACGACAACACACACACACACACACACACACACACACACACACACAGAGTCTCACATACTACAGTTTACATGAACGTCAGCTGTTCGTAATTGTGGCAGTTATTTAATGATACGTCTGTGACAAATGTGATACTTTGGTCTTCATGCATATTTTTCAATTTTTTTTTGTTACAGAAAGCTTGTTACCGTGGAAAAGCAAGATAATGGAACTTTTGGATTTGAAATCCAGGTGGGCAGTTTTCAATTTTCCAGATTTTAATGAAGAAAGTGGTACTGATAGTATGATATTTGCAAAGAAAGAGTGAAGACAGGATCAGAGAATCATGGGCTCCGTGACTTGTATCTGTGACTTTTATCCAGTGTGCAGTGGTTTGGGGGAGTTTTTCAGCGTGCTGGGTGCCATCAAGGAAAGAAAACATTGAAGCCAAAATAAAACCCCTGAGACCTGCTCAGCTCCTTGTTCTGAGTTGCTTTAGTTTTCCTGTAAGTCTGAGCCTGATCAGAAACACTTGGTTTCAGCCAGATCTTCTAAATAAGAAAGTGAAATACTCTATTACAGATGTGGATTTTATATATTTGCATTTAGGGTGTGTTTTGCATAATCATTTTTGTATTGTATATCAGATTTTAAATCTATTCTCTGGCATTCAAGAAATACTTGAAAGCGTGTATATTTGTGTATATGGAACTGCATGTATTCGTGTGGAACCTCTGTTACATTTTGAGATACTAAGGATTTCATCTTGGATATGGCGAAGGAAATTGGACTTTTTTCTTAATGACAACACCTTATAATTACTATTTGAAACATTTTAGAACATTTGGGTCTACCTGCATATTGTCTCATGCTCTAGGAAGTTTCTAACAGTCTTTGTAAGTTTCTATTTCTTTTTTTTTTTTTTGACATTTCAAAAAAATTTTTATTTATTTTTTGAGAGAGAGAGACAGAAAGAGAGAGTTTGAGACAGAGCGTGAGCAGGGGAGGGCTAGAGAGAAGGGGACACAGAATCCAAAGCAGGCTCCAGGCTCTGAGCTGTCAGCACAGAGCCCGATGCAGGGCTCTAACTCACAAACCATGAGATCATGACCTGAGCTGAAGTTGGACACCTGACTGAGCCACCCAGGTGCCTCATATAGGTTTCAATTTCTAATAGCTTAAAAATTTCATTTCTTATTTGCTCTCTGCTTTTTCATGGCCATATTTGTAAAGATGGTGAGTTAGGTCAGATGAAGTCCAGTCCAATTAAGTGCAACAGTAATAGCTTATGTATTATTGTTTTTTTTTCCTCCATCACACTTTGGCATTTCTTTTAGATAATCATAGTCTTTTGCATAATCGTATTCTTATAGTGCACATCAGCTTTGAGATTACCTTTGGTGCTGCTTTCAAAAAACTTTGGTGACTGAATATCAGCCCCCAAATTGGAAAGATGCTGTGTATTTGAAGATTAGGAACAGGAAACTGCTAATAAGTAAAACATGCCTTCTGAATGAAGAAACCAAATGGAACCCTAGCTATAAGGAATAGGGAGAAGGCTATAGGAAGAAGAAAGATACTTTCTACTTTCTGAACTATTCTACTTTTAAATTCGGTGACATCTATGATTCTTCTATGAGGTTTTAGAAGCATAGTACTCTCTCTTACTCCCCATTCATACGAAACGCTCTCTCTCTCTGCTGTGGAGACACTGCCTTTTGTGCTTGCTTTTAAATGAGAATTATCCAGAGGGTATGTAGCAGTTGCTACTGGAAACAAGATCGATGACTACCCACTTATCCTATTTAATGTAACAAATGAGGATTTTCTTCTTACTCTTCTATGATATATGTCATTGTTTCCCCATGTTTCTCCCCCATACCATGAATGCTGACTCCACATGGAGCACAAGTCAAAACTATCATTAGTGGACAGCAGGTTACAGCAGCTAGAACCTTTGTAGATAAACATGAGTTAATGATTTTATTTCTGAACTGCAGTGTGTTCCAGTAAAGCAGGAACCCAGTCCTCTGCCAATTTCCTCTTGGTATATGCTTTCCATTGCCAGCTCCACACCATCATCTAGTCTTTTTTTTTTTAATGTTTATTTATTTTTGAGAGAGACAGAGAGAGAGTAGTGGAGGCACAGAGAGAGAGGGAGACAAAGAATCAGAAGCAGGCTCCAGGCTCTGAGCCGTCACCACAGCTCCCACGAACAGCGAGATCATGACCTGAGTGGAAGTCGGACGCTTAACCGACTGAGCCAACCAAGCGTCCCCACACCATAATCTATTCTTTAACAGTCCTAAGATTTGCAGTAGTCATCACATAGGGGAAATACTCTGGGAATTTTTTGAAGACCAGATAGAGCCTCATGTATCCCCATCGTGCACCCATGGTTAACATGTATTTGGGTTCTGGTCTACCAAGTGAAGGGCACATTGGCAAAGAAACTACACATCCCCTTTGGATTTCCCTGGGTGCTAGTTTTATACTGTTAGTGAGAGTCACACAGTTTGATAGCAACACAAATGTTAGATTCATACACACCAAGTTCCTGTTCTCTCGGTGCTACCTGGTGGGATTCTTAGGAGTTTCAAATGAAACAATACGTCATATAAAGTCCTTAGTAACGTGCCTGGTACCAGTAGATCAAACAATGGCAGGTGTTAGAATAAAGGTCACTGGGCCTGAGAGAGGGCAATGTGACTTTTATATCTCTGAGAAATGCAGGGGATTGTTCTGTCATTGGCTTCTAAAAATGGGAACTAGAAGACTAGGTGTGTGTGTGTGTGTGTGTGTGTGTGTGTGTGAGGGGGATGGGGGGGGATTATTTGACTATTTCAATCCAGAACTATGGGGCTTCTGCCTTTTCTTCTCTGTCCCCAGTCCACAAATTTTACACTGGTTGTGCGCATATATGCTGGCTGTGTAAATCAACATGTTTCCCCTCATCGTACTCACTTTGATCACTGGACCTGGAGGGCAGATTCTCACTGCTAATAAGAGCTGTTATAACGGTGGTTTCCCAGAGGAGTGACTGTTAGAGCTTTGGTTCATGTACCGCATGGACTAGATCACCTTTTCATTCCTGAAAGGGTCCAGGCTGTAGCAAGACTTCCTGGCAGAAAAGCTGTTAAAGGGATCTGACATAGAGGGAAGTGTAATAAATGACCTTTAAAGGTCCCTCGTACCTTTATGATATAGGGATTCTAAATGCCTTGCAGAGTGAATAGAGATTCCTTAGATGTTAACTAAGTCAAGTTTCTAGGAGTTGCATGCACATGATTGACTTCTGGTTCTGGAGTCTCTGCGTCTGTAAAATAAGAAGGAGTGAACATCAGGCATTAATTTCTCCACGGAGAAGCAGTACTGTAATAGGAATAACTTTAGGAATCAGATTACTCAACTCAGATACTGATTTTGATTCTAAATGGAACCAGGCTTCGTAACTTAAATGTGTGAAAAAGAAAAATATGTTTGTTATAGGTCACTGGGCCACTATATTGAGCAATATTTATGGAGTGTTCTTGGTACAATTTGAAACAAAAATAAAAACAAAACCAAGCGGCTTTTGACAAACTGAGGCAAGAGACGAGGCATAACTTTTTCTAATTTAGTTGAGTGACTAATGAACCGGTGAGTATTCAGGCAGGCATACAGAGAGCACTTAGACAAGAAGGTAATCACGTCAATTATAGCACTTTTGAAAAAATACAGGGCAGATTGTCGTTATTTGCAGAGCTCTGATTTAAAATAATTATTGTTGGCACATCTCCCTTCCTGGATGTGTACTGTTCCATATGCTCTTGTAATGAGTGCTTTAGCTTGGGAGAACCACACAGAGATTTTTCTCTTTGCTTTTTGGCTACTATTGTTTTATCCCATTGGGAAATAAGAAACCTAATTTTTCTTAATAGATATGTAATAATGAGAGCATCAGGTGGTCTCTCAGGCTTGAAAATGGAAAATCTTGAGCCAGTCTTATCCCACTTTTAGTCTCACCCTGGATTTTTTTTTTTTTTAAATGAAAAGTGTTGGCTACAGATTTCATCATAGAATCTCAGGACTGGTACCTTTGATTCAGTTTATATTCAAGAAAGCCTTTCCAATTGTTCTTTGTACTTTTACCTGTTCTGCTGCGTAATCAACACCCTTTTATTTTTTGACACATAGATTTTGAATTTTTTGAATAATAATTATGTATCACTTGAATTTTTAGACTTACAGGCTCCAGAACCAGAACATGTGCTCTTCTGAGATGTGCACTCTGATTTGCAAAATACAGGAGGATAGCCCAGCCCACTACGCTGGCCTGCAAACTGGTAATTTATAACTTTGCTCATGTTGGGAATGATTTAAATAGCAAGAAAAGAAATCTTTATGCTACCGAAGGTCAGGATGTGATTGCTGCTTTGAATTTTCTTCCCTCTTTTATGTTGCTAAGGTTTGGGGCTTGCTTGTTTTGTTTTATTTGCATGTCAGGAGGGATTCTTTAAGCAAGTGTTTTAACACTCACTTTCCTTGGCATCTCCCAGGTGATGTCCTTGCAAATATCAATGGTGTGAGCACGGAAGGCTTTACCCACAAACAAGTCGTTGACCTGATCAGATCTTCAGGAAACGTGTTAACGTAACTATCCATCTGCTTCCCATGGGGCTTCAGAAATGTTATGGTCTCTCACAATGCCTGTTGAGTGAATGAATAGGCTTTTTGTTCAGGATCACAAGAAGGGAGGCAGTGCACCAAAGCTTTGGGATCGGGTGGGTACAGACGTGTATTATCAGTCCCTTTTGTTTCTCAAGGTTTCCTCAAACTTGAAAGTATTGTCAACATCTAAAGTCAGAGGACATCAATAGCCCCAACATCTGTGTGGGAGGGATGGCATTTAGAAAATTTATTTATTTATTTATCTTAATGTCAAATTCAACTAAACTGGCACCACATTCTCTTTGGATAGAGAGGAATTAGTCCAGCTTCCATGGTTGATATAATCTTGTGGTTAGAACAAATAAAAGGTCAGGAGGGCTGAGTTTTTTACTCTCACACCACAAGCCAATTGTTTTTCTCTTCTAGTGTTCCATTTAGCAGGAAGAAAACTCTGGTCAACCCTCCCTGCCCTGCGCCACACACTCACACTTACTAATAGTCCAGACTTACTCATGGGAGAGTGTTCTCCCCAACTAGAGATTTGACTGAATTTTCTACCATACCATCCTTTAGAGCCTAATAAGACTTCAGTAATTAGTTAAAAGATGGAATTTCCTCAGTCATTCAAATGATATTTATTGAGCAAATACTATGTTTCCGGCTTTGTGATATAGGCTTAGGAGAGACAAAGACAAGGACTCTTGTAGTGCTTTATTATCTGTGGAGGGAGATGGACAAGGAAAGCCTTCAAAATAAGTAATTTTGAAATTTCAACTTTTGGTTACTGCTATTAAGAAAGTAAAATGAGGAATGGGGTAGAATACTGAGTAAGAGGATTCTACCTGCGTTTAGAGGGATCTTGCCTGAGGAGGGGAAATCTGGGCTGAGACATAAAGAAAAAGAAGGGATGGTCATGTGAACTTCTGGTGAGAGCCTTTCAGGCAAAGAGAGAGGTCTGTGAATTCTCAAAATGGGCTTGGCATGTCCAAGAGATAGAGAAACAACCAGTGTGATGGGTGGTTGGTAGATTAGGGAGAATATAAGAAATGAAGGCGGGGAGTTGGCCAGGGGGCGGAGCATGGGTCTTGTCAGGCTAAGTAATTTAAGCATTTATTCTGACTAAGGTGGGGTGTGTGTGCATTATCTCGCTCATCCTTCACAGCCAACTTGTGATGTTAGTTTTATTTCTATTTATAGATCAAGTGCCTGAAGCTTAAGTTAGGTGGAATTAAGATCAATGATATAGTAAGTGACTGGGCTAGGATTTGACCACCCACTCTGGAAGCCAAGATCTGTTCTCTTCAGCTACCCCACAGCTGCTCATTGCAAGCTGCCAACAGAAAATCCTCTGGATGCTCTTCAATTATTCTGGTCTAAAGCTTCAAAGATGTTCTTACTGTGTGTGGGACTCCTGATGGTCCAACTCTGTGGATCCTGTGAGTTCAGGGTAAAGGAGCTCTTTACTCCAGAGAAACTTGAATCTATATGGTTGGAGCCATATAGAATCCCAGGGAAAATGGTGGCAGTTAGAATCAGGAGGCTATGTTCCAAATGGTTGAAGTGGGTAGAACGCAGGTATGTAATTAAGGAGTAGTGGGTGGAGACAAATGGAAATTCAGACGTCAGGAAAATGAGAGACAACTGTATAAATACTGAAGAGGGTGACCAGTGTATTCCTGAGGTTTGGCACATAGACATTTATTGCTTGTTCAGCTCAGGTCAGCATTAAAGTTCCCACTGAAACAGATTCATAGGGATCCTCACTCGTGACCAGAGACAAGACCATCCTAATGAGAAAGGAGACAACATCTTGGCTTTCATTATCATTTCATTATCTTGGGAATGATGCTATTAGAAATAGAGAAAAATTCATCTCCATATTTAATGCTATTATTCCCCCATGACTTGAAAGATTTCCTGAATCTTAATAAATAGTTACAGCTTATTTGTCAGAAGGAATTTGAACCAATACTTTAAAAATATTTAGGTGTGTGACTAACACATGGAATTTGTTACCTTATTCAGATTGCTGACTTAGTAGTCAAAATAAAGGCCTCAACATGAGCCCACAAAACAAATCACTCAGGAAAGAACACGTCCTTTTATTTTTAGAAAGGCATTTGGTATAGGGAGAAAAGAACAGCATCAAACTGATAATGCTAGGATTAAGGTTTATAAACTTAAAAGGCTCCAAGATGTGAGAGTCATAAGAAGGTTATTATCTCTTAGTGGTTTCGGTTCCGTCTGTTCGAGCTGCGAAATTAAGTCAATTTACAGAGTAAAGGTCCCTAGCATCCCAGGAAAGAAAGGATGTTTCCCTTTTCCAAGAAAGAGCATGGTGCTTCCACTGTTTGAAAATCCCTATTGCATGTTGGTTTCATTGCTGGACCCCTCATGCTAAGCATGACTATCTAAATTCTGGCACACAGTAAATGCCCAGTAAATATTCACCAAATAGAATAGGTGATTCAGTCAGAGACCATAAGAACAGATTCCATCAGAGAACAACAATCATTGCCATACGCTGGCATCTATAAAGCGAGCCATCGGTTACAGGTTAAACAGTATCTTTTCTTTCAACCTCCCTCTCTAGGGGACATTTTGTTTTTGTGTTGCTTTTGTTCCATTTTCTTTCTCTGAATATTGTCAGAAGATTCTGCCTAGGTGCAGATACTTGAAGTGCCATGGAAATAATAACATTTATGTTGCTTTTTTAAGTGTAGTCTGTGCTCAAAGTGGCATAATCTACAAGGATGGTACTTGTTTGAAAGAATCACTCATGCTGTTCCCTTCCCCCCTCCCTTTCTCTTAAAACAGGATAGAGACTCTTAATGGAACAATGATTCTCAAAAGAACAGAGCTGGAAGCAAAGCTACAAGTTTTAAAGGTAATTTAATTTAATACAGTGAGGTACCTTTTTCATCCTTGAATGTGTGAGTGGTAGAATAAAAATCTATTTGAGGGATTGAAATAGCCCTTGAAGATGAAATGTCATGATGAGTCTAAACTGCTGAATTATCAAGAGCCACACAATTATCTTTACAGGAATATTAAATTCCACAAGCCAGTGCAAATCACGTTCTTCCTTCCTCCTTCGGTGTTTCTGTGAGGCTCAGAAAAGCAACAGGAAGGCACATCACTTGAAGAACTTTTCATTCATGCACCTGTGATCTCTCTTGATTTACATTTTGTTTGGGGAAGAAACAAAGGAGGAGTTGCCGGTCTTTTCTTCATTTTTTTTCCCCCCCGTGTTGCCTGTTTGCAGGATGGCCTAGAAATTTTGTTTTTCCACTTTCCTCTTCTGTGTCTTTCTGTTCAGCCTCTTTCTTCCTCCAGAAATCATCTCCCTCTGCTCCTGTGGTTGTCCTTGAATCTCCTTTCATTGGCCAACACGCAATCAACTCTGAAGCGGGAAAAAAAAAAAAATTAAGTTTCCAGGAGACAGTGCATATTGCAGGATGTTTAGATACAATTCCCTGGGATGGCTTTTTGGGGGTCTTGAAAATCTCAGTTTGCTAGATGGGTGAGGTTCTGCCAGGCCATGAAGTACAGCCCTCACCCATGTGCATGTGAGTCATGGTCCTACAGATTGCAATGATCTCTTTATCCCAGAGATCTCCCCTGCATGGCAGTGAGGGGGCCAGTCTAAGCAGAGACCACACGGCCTACTACAGGCAGGTTGCTTGCCTGGACTGTGTTTAGCAATAGCTGGTGTTTATCAATTTTCTTTGTGAAGCATGTACTTCTTTTCTTTTTAATGTTTATTCATTTTTGAGAGAACTAGAGAGAGCATGCACATGTGCGTGCCAGTTGGGGAGAGGCAGAGCTGGGGACAGAGGATCTGAAGCGGGCTCTGTGCTGACAGCAGAGGGCTCGATGTGGGTCTGGAACTCACGAACTGTGAGATCATGACCTGAGCCAAAGTTGGACGATTAACCAACTGAGCGCCCCTGAAGTGTGTACATTTTAATTTTTGCGCCCGTGAGGGTAGAGTTACTGTTTCTGTTTTATCTTGTATTCTTCCTCCCTCCCCCCACATCTAGTTCATCAATAACCTCTGTTTCCTTCTGTATCAACACTGATTTTGTACTCTTGTTATTGTACTTATTGCTATATTTTGAGTTAATTTGTAAAATTTCTTTAAAAATTCCTCTGTTCAGATTATGATGGGAATTGACATTTATAGAATAAATATCAATTGACATCTTTATGGTTTTCACTTTTCCTACTTCAAACATAGGACTTGATCTTTTAAATCAGGTTTTTTTGTGTACTTCAAAAATATTTTCTAATTTCTTCATGCACTGCTGTATATCTTTTATTATGTTTATTCTTATGTACCTTCTAAGTTTTCTTGCTATAATAAATATGATCTTTTAACTTTAATTTAATTTATTTATGTTTATTTATTTTTAGAGAGATAGAGAGTGCACATGCATGAGTGGGAGAGAGGAGGAGAGAAGAGAGAGAGAGAGAGACAGAGAGAGAGAGAGATTGGATCCCAAGCAGGCTCTGTGCTGTCAGACCAGAGCCTGATGGGGGGCTTGATCCCATGAATCATGAGATCATGACCTGAGCTGAAATCAAGAGTTGGACGCTTAACTGAGCCACTCAGGCGCTCCAATATGATCTTTTACTTTTAAAAGATCTTTTAGGTTGTTGCTATTTACTTTTGTGTAAATAAAAAAAATAATGTTTATTTTTGAGAGAAAGAGAGAGAGAGAGATGGAAAGAGTGAGCAGGAGAGGAGCAGAGTGAGAGAGAGACACAGAATCTGAGCTGTCAGCACAGAGCCTGATGCGGGGCTCAAACCCACAAACTGTGGGATCATGACCTGAACTGAAGTCAGACGCTTAGCCATCTGAGCCACCCAGGTGCCCCTGTGTAAATTTTAAATCCAGTAGTCTTGCTGAAGTCTCTTTATTCCAATATGTTTGTAGATTCTCTTAGATTTTTTTATTTAGACACAATATTATCCGCAGATACTGAAAGGTTTGGCCCTTTACTCCCTGATTATTCAAATATAGCTGATCCTTGAACAACAAAGGTTTGAAGCGCAAGGATTCAGCTTACTCTATTGTAGGGGTACAGTATGTAACATAAGATACAAAATATGTGCTAACTGTTTATGTTATCATTAAGGCTTCCAGTCAACAGTAGGCTATTAGTAGTTAAGTTTTTAGGGAGTGCAGAGTTATATGTAGATTTTTTTACTGTGCAGGGGTCAGTGCCCCAACCCCCCCATGTTGTTCAAGAGTGATAATCTTCTTGTTCTTGACCTTAAAGGGAATGCCTCTAACATTTTATCATGAATATTTTGTATGTAATAAACAGTGCTTCATATTACATTTAGGTTTTTTTTTTTTTTTTTTTTTTTTTTTTTTTTTTTGAGAGAGAGAGAGCATAAGTGCAAGTGGGGAGGGACAAAGGGAGAGGGAGAGGGAGAAGAGAGAATCTCAAGCAGGCCCCAGGCTCAGCATAGAACCCAGTTCAGGGCTGGATCAAGTGTGAGATCATGACCTGAGCCGAAATCAAGAATCAGATCCTTAACTGACTGAGCCACCCAGGCTCCCCTATTTAGGTTTTAAAACTGTCAAAACTTAATTTGTTTTTGTAAAAGAGAGTATTCGTGAACATCTTTTTGTTGTTGTTGTTGTTGTTGTTGTTGTTGTTGTTAAATAAACCTGGCTTCTTTAACCTTTTGTAGAAAAAGGAAAGAAATGTACAAAATAAACTGGTGGTGTTATTTAAAGTATGACTGATCAAATAGGACTATATTTCACGGAATAAAGAATTCTCCTGTAAAAAACACGTTTCATGTTTCTAAGCAATTTCTGTTCCTTCAATGTTTTCTCTTGAAGTTTTAATATTCATACTTACCTATTTTTTAAACGATGCGTGAATTTCTTCAATATACCCATCCTCTCATAGAACATCATAAGAACGTTAACATGTTTAAATGTCCATTTAAGACCCCATCTTTCTTATTATTGCTTGCCTTTGGAGAATTTTATCAACTTTTAGAAAGAAAAACTACAGGCTTCTGTTGCAGATATCTGGTAGTGAACAAATACACTCATACGTTGAATTGGCCTGCTTGCTGTTTTTTTCTGTTCCTTACCTCTGGGTTTACTTTCTTTTTTTTGCCGTAGTACTTGCTTTTAGCAAGGGTAAGTAGGTCTTTCTTTGCCAAGAAAGTCTTTCACTGCTACTGCTGAAGGAGAGTTTTGCGAGGTGACTGAATTATTCTTAGCTGATGCTCTGTCTCCTTAGCACTTTAAATGTATTGCGCCTTTGATATTTTTGTTTACGAAAGAGCTCCTATTTTTTTATCCTTTGTAGGTAATCTGCACTTTCTATATTTTCTTCTAAAAGGTTTAAGGTTTTTCTTTTTTACACTTACATTCTGAATGCATCCAGAGTTAAGTTTTACATGTGGTTTGCGATGGGATTCTAATTTTCTCTGATTCTCATATGAATACTCAGTTCTCTCAGTACTACTTATTGTATAGTCCGTCTTTTCCCCCAACTGAACTGCAGAGAAGCCTCTGTTTTCAAGCACGTTTCATATATGCATGGTTTTTCTTATGGGCTCCGTATTCCGATCCATTGTTTATCTCAAACTCAGTTATTTTACCTTAAATATTGGTATTCCATTGAGCAAAACGTCCAGGTTATTCTTGGTTCTTTGATCATCTATATAAATGTTAGAATCAGGTTGTCAAGTTCTGTAAGTACATTTTAGAATTTTGATTGATACCACATTGTATGTAGATAGCTCAATTTTAAAATGCTTGACATTTGTATGGTATTGAGTTTTCTTAGTGACAGACGATCTCGCCATTTTTTCGCCCATCCTCCCACTCCCCACCCCTCTGGCAACCACCAGTTCTCTGTATTTTTTGAATCTGTTTCTTTTTGTTTGTTTGATTGTGGAATTTTTTTGGATTCCACATAGGAGTGAAATCCTTTGCTATTTGTCTTCCCCTGTCTGATTTATTTCATTTAGATAGTATCCTCTAGGTCCATCCATGCTGTCACAAATAGCAAGATTTTATTCTTTTTTGTGGATGAATAATATTCCACTGTTTATGGACACCATTTATCCATTTCTCTATTTATGGACACTTAGGGTGCCTATACATCTTGGCTATTTCTTTTAAGTTTATTTATTTTTAGAGAGAGAAAGAAAGAGAGAGAGAGAATATACACGTGAGTGGGGGAGGGACAAAAAGGGGGGGGGAGAGCATATCCCAAGCAGGCTCCAAGCTGTTAGTGCGGAGCCCTACTTGGGGCTCGACCTCACAGACCGTGACATTATAGCCTGAGCCAAAATCAAGAGTGGGGCTAAATCAAGGCATTTAGCCAACTTAGCCACCCAGGCGTCTATTTTTAAATTTTTGAGAAAACTCCATACTGTTTTTCACAGTGGCTGCACCAATTTGCATTCCTACCAATAGTGCATGAAGTTTCTTTTGTCTCCACATACTCCCCAGTACTTCTTATTTCTTGGGTTTTTTATATTAGCCATTCTGACAGATGTAAATGATATCTCATTGTGGTTTTGATTTACATTTCCCTGATGATAACTGATGTTGAGTGTTTTTTTCATGTGTCTATTAGCCATCTGTATGTCTTCCTTGGAAAAAAATGTCTATTTAGGTCCTCTGCCCATTTTTAATGGGATTATTTGGGGCTTTTTGGTGTTGAATTATGGAAGTTCTTTACATATGTTGAATGTTAATCCCTTGTTGCAGATATCATTTGCAAATATCTTCTCACATTCAGTTGCCTTTTTGCTTCATCGGTGGTTTCCTTTGCTGAGCAAAAGCTTTTAATTTTGTTGTAGCCCCATAATTTATTTTTGCTTTTGTTTCCTTTGCCTGA